AAAAACGTTATTTATTATAAATCATTGTAGTGTATTATTTGATGGAAGTTCTGCTGTAAAAATTAAAGGAATGGTTGATGAAAATAAGTGTAACTCAGAGCCTTTTCCCACTAGACTTGTCCTCCTACTAGCTCCCTGATATTCTGTAAGCCAATAATCAACCCCAGTTGTCACATAAGATTTATTCCATTCATCATTTTTTATCCAGCTAGGAGCATGCAGACACATCAGAGATTCTATTCTTAATTGGTGGAGACGTGAAGAGAATGTTTGTTTAATATCTATATAATGTTCTGTAGATTAGGAGAGAAGTGTAAAAGATATTCAGATGACACTGAACTATATATTTCATTCATTATGCAATCAACAGCTGAACAAAATCAGCCTGAATACATAGATGAAACAGAACTATGCTATTGGTAAAGTTGGCCTTTATGGGAAGAACAACTCTGTGTGTCAGTGACAAAACTGTGGTTGATTTTCAAAACATTTTGCAGGCTTATGTGCATTTCTGGATCTAGCTTTGTACATAAAGACACAAACTAAGTGGTGGCCAGAAGTATCTTTTATAGATGACATCTAACAGGGAGACCATGCTCCTTAAGAGAACAGAGATGAAACTATTTTTATCTATTTGCACCATTTGGATGGACTACTGCAATAAGCTTTAAGTCCTTGAACACGACTCAGAAACTTCACCTGGTATAGTATATTACAGCCTATCTTCCTGAAAGTATAAGGAGATGGGATTTTTAACCACTGTGATAAGCACTGGATGCAGCTGAAGGTCCCAGTCTTAAAGTTTTCAAAGCATTCACTCCTCCTATGCGCTAGCTCACCACTTCCATTTCATATTCCATTGCTGTTAAAACTGGGCATTCTCAACCACTACTGAGATAGTTATATTTGCTCCCAGAACAAATTGTAATAGCAAGTTGCTTTGAGAACTTAAGTAGGATTGTAAAACCTAGTGTCAAAAAGGCATTCTGAGAGCAGGAAATAATGTTTTCACTGAAAGCTTCCAATTTCCAATTTCACCAATGGTTTTCATAAGCTTCAGGAAAAATATGAAGACCTTGCACAGGAGGGGAATGTTCTGTGACTTAAAGGTGGGGTTGCAGGTACATGGTGTTTTTTAATGTTTACGTGTATATTTATTTTATTTATTTTTATTTATTGGATTTCTCCCCTGCCCAT